TTCAGCAGGCACGGAAGTGAAGGTAGAAGGTAACTTCCCTCTAGGGTTTTTGAAGGCATTAGCTTAAGTTTCTTCTAGCTTCCATTGTCACGTTTCCTAAGTGTGGTGCTATTCTGATTCCTGACACTTTCTGCGAGATGAGGCCTTTCTCTCTGGCAGCTTTCAGGATCCTCATTTGTCCCCGGCGTTCTGTGACATTGCAGGGATGTGCTTTACTCTGTGTCCGTTTTCTTCCACTCTGCTGGGGTGAGGTGTTTCCTTTCAACTGGTAACTTTAGTTCTGGGAAATATTCCTAATTTATTTCATGGATGTTTTGTCCCTCCATTTTCTCTATTCTTTTTTTTTTTCTTTCCACTGAAACTCCTATTCAACCATTGGACCTCATGGACTTACTTTCTCTGTCCCTCATTTTCTATCTAATTGCTTTTTGCTCTGCTTCCTGAGAAGTTTCTTCCGCTCTACACTCCAAGTTTTCTATTGTATATATGATTTCTGCTGTCATATTTTTAACCTCCGAGGACGCGTCTCCTCCTGGCACAGCCCGTTTCCTCCAGGTGCTTTTCTTCTTTTATGTTTTGATTTCTGTCTTTTCTGTACACGCTTTCCTCAAAGGTCTGATGAGCCCCAGCTGTTTGCTCATCTTTAAGAGAGGGATACCATGGAAGCCTTTTTTGTGAGGTTCTCTGTGGGGTGATTTGGCTTTGCCTTATTTTGGGGCTGGTCAGATTCCCAAAGAAGAATCTTCCAGTCTCCTGCCTGGAGGTTATGGCTGCCCACGTCTGGGAGCCAGAAAAGGAAGAAAGCTGATGATCTCAAGATTCAGTATGTAGCTGTTCTCTTCAGCTCCCTGTTTTTAGTACTGATTGCCTGCCCCACCCCCATCCTTAGCTTCGGTCTTTGTTGGGGTGCAGGAGGGGCTTTATCTCAATGTCGAGGGAAGGGCAGGAGACTGGGGTCTTCCTGTCTTTCCGCTGTCCTCGTGTTTTCAGCGTCACCTTCATTCCCTCTTCCAGACTTGTCCACCCCCGAGACTCCCTGGGGTTCTGTGGTTTGTGCTTCCTTTTCCTGTTGCCAGGTTAGCACTGAACTGTCTCATGTCTGGGCAGTTATTCATCCATCTGCCTTCCTGCTTCCAAAATTGTGTGGCTGTTGCCCTCTCTCCTCTTCTCTTTGTCTGACTGTGTTCATTCCATTTACTGTCATTTTTGTGGGACGTGGGAGAAGACGGAGGTGTTCAACCTACTATTTTAACCAATATGCAATTACTGTGTTTATTACGTGTTTTGATGTCTATCTTTCCCATCAACTGTTGAGCATCTTAAAATTGTAGCCCAAGTGCCTCTAAACAGTTTGTTTCAATACATTTTTATGGAATTAACTAAACAGATTAAAAGAGTACTTTCTTGACTGTGGTTTTTTGAGTAAATAAATGGGATGAGTATGTTTGTGTCACACAAGGAGAGAAAATTCAGTGCCTGTTTTTAGGTCTGACACTGAGATCTCTAGTTCGTAATGGGCACGCTATTATACAATTGTTCTGTTTTCCATAAAACCCCATTGACAGCTCACTCAGCTAATCCGGGACAATCTTCCATCTTAAAACCAAATAATTAAAAGGGACTTTGAGAGCTTGCATAGTAAATCCCTTTCCCTCTGGCTGGAAGCATTATTAGTCCATTACAGTTCCAAGAAAAGACATTGGCTCAGAGCGTGAGTTCAGACATTCTTGAAAAACTGGGGATATCAGTTCTCTAACTCAATATTATACAAAGGAAAATAGGACAAGGAAACAAGACAAAAGAGAGTATCTTCTAGATCCTTAGGCACTAATTACCCCCCACTGCTCTGGAGGTCCTGAGGCCGCCCTCTGTATTCTCTGCCCTTCTCTTCTGGTCAAGAGAAAGCCGGCAGCCAGGGGATGGAGAGCAGGACCCTGGCGGGGGCGGCGGGGGTGGG